CGCGGTCCCGGGAGGGCGCCCCGCACGCCGCGTTCGGCGGTCACCCGAAAGCAGGTCACTGGCTGCGCCCCGTGCCCCGCGCGGCTCGCTCCGGCCGCGGCGCGCTCTCGCTCTTCCTCGACTTCTCTCTGGGGCTCTCGCCGCCCCTCTCTTTTCTCGGCTGCTTTCCAAAATCCGAAGTGATTTGGAGGAGCAAAGGAGCGATCTCCCCAAAGCGTCGGCCCGATTTCAAGTGGGGGATAGGGGGCAAAAAATAAATTAAAATGGGAAACAATACAGTTTTTTTTTTAAAACAATGTTCAAGGGAAAAAAACGAGAGGGGTTAAACCCCTGGGAGGGAAAGAACGAAGCTCAGATCCCAGTGCGGAGGCCCTGGCCGTTGAGTCCGCTGGCCCGTCTGCCGCGCCGCCGCCGGCTCCGTGCCTCGCGCGCGGCCTCCCCGCAGCCCGGCTGCCCCAAGCCTCTGCGCTCCTGCCTCCGCCAGCCGACTGAAAAAAGGGGCTGGTGCCGCCCATTCTGAGGCCACGCCCCGGGGCAGGGCTGCCCGAGCCTCTCCCCCTCCCCGCCGGCACCGCCTTCCCCCCCGGGACACGCGGCGAAGTCTGGGCCCGGAGCCCATCGCGGCGAAGGGGAAGCGCGCCCCCCACTAGGGTTCGCGCCTGAGAGTCGCCCATGCGCCCCCTGAAACGCTGCTCAGACACGCACGCCCGTGGAGTGAGGACAGAAAAGTGGGGTTATGTGCGGACAGGGCCTGAGCGCGGTTCCCGCTTTGCTGGGAATATTGGAGGGGGCGGGGAGAGGGACGTGAATCTGTTGGAATCCTGGAGTGACCCCTCGCCTCTCCCCCTGCACACACGCACACGCGCACGCACGCACACGCGTCCTCGCTCACGCAGACGCGGCTCGCCCAAGTTCACGAGCTCCCTGTGGTGACCGAGCGCCCCCTAGTGACCGCCGTCTGCACACCTCGTGGGCTCCTAAGAGGGACCGGGCTTGGGAAGGGGTTGGGAGCAGTGCGCTCCGGAAGCCCCAATCTCTGACCCCCCAAAACGGCTGCGTGCTTGAGAGTGCAATGACCCCTTGGGCAGAAGCCCAGTGCTGCGTGCAGGAGGGCCCATGTGCTTATCTGGAGCCCTTATCTGGCCTACAGACAGCAGAGGAGTTGGGGCCTGGGGTGAATGGGGTCTTTAGGAGCTCTCCAGGGAAGCTTCCCTGGGGAGGGGAATTTGGCAGCGAGTTTGTGGTGCTGCGAACGGGAAGCTGTGTGGTTCTGGGGTTAGTCAGCGACCCGGGGGAAAGAGGACCTGTTGGAGCCCACGTATGCACTGTGGAGTCTGGCACAGCCCCTGGCAGAGGCAGCTGGGCAGACAGAGGCTCTTGTTCCTGCTCGTCACCCCCCCCCCAGATGTTGCCAGGGAGCCAAAGCCAGGGGCTGGTGGGGGCGGAGGAAGGCCAGGGCTGGAGTCATGATTCAAAGCTCCCCCAGCACTCAGGAACATTCGCAGGCCGGCTGCCCAGAGCTCCCACCAGGCGGGGCGCCAAGGCTGATGCGCCCCAGCCCTGGCTCAGCTCATCTTCTGGGCAGAACTGGGGGGTCTCTCCAGCCCCCCGACCCCGTGCCTTCTGGAGCCCCTGCTTCTCCTCCAGGTTTCCCCTCCTTTCCTGGTCCCCTCCCTTATCTCCAAGCTCTCTTCTCTTCTGATGCTCCATGTCTTTCCTGAATGTTCCCCGAGGTCCCCCACCCCACCCTTGGATATAGGACCCAGCCTGGGAAAATTCCTGGTTGGGCTTTGGCCCAGCTGCTGCTCCCCCAGGGAACAGGGTGGGGGGCTTGGTACCTATGGGAAGAGAGGGACCAACCAGTGTCGTTGCCTGCACAGATTTGCCTGGGCCAACCTGGGGCTCAAGTAGGTCCAGCTAAGACAGAGAAAGCAGCAATGTCCCTGCTCACCTAAAGTGGTCTGGGAAGGTTACTCAGTTGCCCCCCCACCGCATGTGTTGCTATGGCTTGTGGGGCTGCTAGACTGCCTCCAGGGCATCCCAATTCCGCTGGCAAGGTGTCCAGAAGGCCCTGTGATGAAAGCAACTGACTTCCAACACCCCATCCCCACCTTCCAGAGCATCTCACATGCTCTGGTCCTGCCTACACCCCTGCTGGACTCTCTAGCCGCAGGGACAAGGTCTTTATAGTTAGAAAATATTTATTTGCTGGCCCAGAACCCCTTCCCTGCTGGTCTCACCTAGGTCCCTGCTGCAAGCTGACAAGTGGGCTGTGGAAGGGATTCCCGTAAATTTTCTCCTCCTCTGCCTCCAGCACCCAGAACGCCTGCTTCCCTATTTGGGACAAGACAGAAGCTCCAGGCATCTAAGGTTCACTCCTGCCCTTGCCTTGCATCCCTCTCACTCCATCTTCTTCTGTCCGTAGAGAGCAAATGGCATAAAGTGGAAGTCTCAGGACAGAACCCCAAAGCTAGAAGGGACAGCCATCCATGGTCCTGCCACAGCCCCAGCACCCCAATCCAGCCTTCGTGCACACAATAAGGTGTTCCAACAAGCCACTCACAGCTCCTGCTGTGGACTGTGTCCCGGGAACCAGGGTGATGACGGTGCAGAATTCCCAAGAGCCAGAGAGGGCTGTAACCTGGCCTAAAGGCTTTGAGCAACCTGCACCAGGGTGGGGACTGGCCTCCCACCTGCACCCTGCACTCCAGAGACACGACTTGGAGGTGAGTCAGAGAAGGGGTCAACTCTGGAGCCCATGGCCTCTAGTGTCACCTGCTTTCACAACAAGACACTCAGGAGGACCCGCCAATGATCATACTACCACCAAGTTAAAACCTCAAGTCCCCGGGTGGAGAAAGAGAAGCAAAACCACACTCCTAAGACCACATGGTGTGTCCTCAAGCATCCTCCGTGTCCAGGGCTCAGTTCCCCTGAACAAGCTTCCCGCCACTCATCCTTTGTCCCCATGTCACTGCAGGGTGGGGGCCACCAAGGCAGGCTGTCTCGCCAGAGAATCCTGCATATCCCCAGAGAGGGCACAAGAGAGCCCAAGAATACCCCTAAATTGAGGGAGGATGATACCAAGAGCCCCCTAAGCAGAGGTCTTGCTGGGTCCCCATCTCTGGGCTAGGTGTTCATAGCCAGCTCTGAAGGAGCCCGGAAGGTGCCAGGGAGGAAGGTACAGGTGTTCCAGGGGAGGATGGAGGGGATAGGGACTGGGTGGGGGTGGAGAGGAGTACAAAAGGCTGCCAGGACCCAGTAGTCCAGACAAAGTAGTGGTGGGGCCCAAGGCATAATGGTTATACTTTTTCCTGATGTCCAGTCACCTCTCCTGTCACCGCCAATGTTCAGGGAAGCTCTTGCTTGGGTGAGTGCAGGCAGTTCATCTGGGAGCCATTGAGTCCCTCATGGGAGAGGAAGGAGGACAAGGAGGAAGTGGCTGGAGCCGGCTGTCACACATTGTCCCAGGTGGTTCACCGTGATGGGAGGAAGTCCCTTTTCACTCCATCTCCTGAGCCTCCAGTGCCCAGCAGGGCACTGACCTACAGAAAGGGCAGTGACTCCCAGCTGCTGAGTGGAAGGAAATTCCTTGTCTCTGGCCATGGGACCACCCTGTCCCGCCCGTCACTGAGCAGTCCTCTGTCACCAGGTCTTTGCAACAAAGCAATAGAAAAACAAAGCCATCTGGGAGAAAGCTGTACCTCTAGTGCCAATGTTGTAGCCTCCCACGGATTTGGAGATTTGACTGGGGACCAAGAGAGGCCAGCATGGCTATTTGGGAAAAAAATTAGAGCAGGGTCCAGTCCAAAAAGGGAAGGAGAAGCTAGCAAAAAGGGGAACAGGGCCGCATCCTTCTCTGGAGGGTCACAGCCCATGGACCAAGTAAGTCTGTGCCTCAACTTTACCGTCCCTGGCACTAGGCTGCCCCTGCTGGATGGCATCTCCCCAGCTGCCCCTGACATGCCTGCTCCTGACATCCCAATCTTTGCTAACCATCCAAAGCCTGACCCTCATTATACCGATGGCTGCCCCAGACCCTATCAGTCTCAGAGGGTGTCCTTCACCTGGGCAGAACGTGGCACGCAGTGGCTGTGCGAAGTTGTGTCCTACCTCCTGACCCCAGAGCACTCCAGATCTACCAGCTCTGAACCAGTGTGGCGGGGACACTAAATAAGCCAGTGCAAAGCATAGGGGCTTTGGAGCCAAATATACCCAAGGGCACCCCTGCCTCTGCCTTTCCGTGTGGATCTCTGGGCCATTGGTCACCTGGCCCATAAAACAGGGGTGAGAAAACCTCCTTGGAGAGGCGCTGCACCCAGAGGAATGCACACACAGCTTCTCCAGAAAGCCAGACAGCAGCGGTCTGCTTTAAGACTTCTTTCCAAACAGCCCAGTCAGAGCTACTGGGAAAATGCTGCTCCTACAGGGGTGAGGCCCTGGCAGGGCACTCACTGACCAGAATGGGCCTCTGGGGGCGCCTCCCGCTGGATGTGGTACGAGACATGGACTCCATACACAATTATTAAATCCAGACCTCAAGCTGTGCTTTGAGCTGGGCCCTGGGGCTGTCAGGTGTGGAAAGGGGCCTCCTGTCTGCAGAAGAGCAGAAAAACAAACTGAAACTAGGAATTCTAGGAGTGATGGGGGACGCAGAACTGCTGAGATTGCCGAGGGCCTCCTGGAGGAGGTGTCAGTTGAATAAGTACAAGGTTCCATCAACAGTTTGTGGAGTGGGGACAGGGGACAGGCGGGGCTTCTGATGCTCGTGGTGACCCTCCTGGTGAAATGAAGCAGGGAATTAGGACTTCCTTGGAAACATCCCCAGCAGAGCCCTGGGGACAATGCTGCTCCCTCAGGGAGTGAGGCTGCCTGCCCCACGCCCCTAGGACAGCAAGTCTCTGTCCAAGAATTTAAACAAACAAGCGGACTCCGGAGGCAGGTCTCGCTGTACACTCAGAACCGCTGTTGTTTGCCCAGGGGCGAGCAGAGGACTCCAGCATGTGTGTGATGAGCACAGGGCCACTCAGCAGAAGGTACTCCCTCCCTGGTCCCTCCAGGTACCCAGAGCCCCCTGCCTGCCCGTCACAGGCATAGATGGAGAACTAGAAAGAGCACTGAGCAAAAAAATCCAAGGGCAGCTGCGTGCTGTGTGGTCCTGGCCTCTGTCTCCCTCTCTGAACCTTGAGTCTTCTAGTACAGCTCAGGATTCCTAAGCGCCAAGGCTCTGTAAGGCGCTAATAACTCCATCTATCACTGTAGCAGGATGTGATACCAGATGTCACATCCTCTATAGTGCTGTGGATTTAAAAGCCTCTTTTTTCCCCTTTTTGTTTTTGTTTGAGATGGTCTCACTGTGTAGTCAGCCGGCCTCCAATTCACGGTGATCTTCCTGCCCCAGCCTCCTGCTCTTTAAAGCCTCTTGAATTCAAAGAAGTCTAGCGCCATTGATGACAGCCAGGGCCCAGTACCTAGGGATAGAGGA